CAGTTGGAGGCTGTTACAGATGGAAACCATGACCCCAGGTATACTGCTTAACCCTCATGGCAACGACGTCAGGCAGGTGTCATTTCCGTTTAAACAGACGAGGACGGCTCCCGATTAGTCTCGTTGGTTACTGGTCACGGCGTTCTGAATTTAACAAAACCTTTCCCACGCATTGTATCATCCCGAGACACGTCCTCGGATGTACAGCTACAACCCCAGTTCACGCCGAGTGGAGGTTCAGAAAGAGGGAAGGAACCCCCACAGTGGGAAACGCATTTGCACAGATGGGTGGTAGTCCCCCAGCTTTCTAAGCTCTGCTCCGTAGGGTTCTTAGATAAAATACAGGATTCCCACACACCTCCTGCGATTCTGGGCGGCACAATGACACTAAAGGTGATTTGCTGTTTATCTGAAACTTAACTTGGCAGCCAGTAGTGTCACTGGTTAAATCCGGCTGCCCTCGTCCTAAGGGGTGGGCCAGCCCGTCGTCTGCCCCTTGCTCTCATCACCATGAGACAGGGACATCGGTGCAATGGGTACAAACCCACCAAGGGCCATTGCGACTGGAGACCTCAACTCAGGCGCCTTCCTGTTCCCTCTGACTTGGGCAGCCTAAAGCCAGGACGGGGTGGACGTCAGCATTCCCATCGTTGTTGAACTTGGAGGATCACGCATCACACGGCTGTCAGCAAAGGCTGGTTTCTGGCACTGAACTAACACGCGGTCCCGACCGTCCACCCCCGCCCGGCACCACACCGGCCCGCCCCCCCTCCGCGGGAGCATCGCTTACTTGTAGGGGATGTGCTTGCTGCCGTTGACGAGGGCCAGGATGACGTTGCCCAGCGCGGACAGGGACAGGCACAGCCCCGCGCCGCCGTCACGGTTCTTGCTGAGCGCTTTCACACAGCTGCCCAGGTCGATGAGGTGCAGGCGGCTGCGGCCCCCGGACACTGTCGGGGAGAGAGGACCAGAGAAGGGTTAGGGCCTGGCAGACACTCACCTGTCCTTCAGTAGCTCCTCGGGGAATCTGAGGTTTTGGAAAAAGAGAAGAGAAAACAAAAAGTTGACGTTCATGGTCTAGTACAGTGGTCGGCAAACTCATTAGTCAAAGAGCCAAATATCAACAGTACAACGACTGAAATTTCTTTTGAGAGCCAAATTTTTTAAACTTAAACTATACAGGTAGGTACATTGTTATTAACTTAATTAGGGGACTCCTAAGCTGGCCTTTGCTAAAAACGTCCTCAATCTGATGGAGGTACATTCGCTGAGGTCGGCCCCTTCCAACTCTCCCATCCACACTCGTCTTGTATACTTGTTTCGTCTATCTCCTTTCGTTCATCCTCTCTATATGTGCACCCCCCACTTCTTCTAACGCCACTTCTTCAAAATAGACTCGCCCAGGCTGAAAACCGACTTCTGCGCATGAGCCACAAAGTTTCAATCGCACTGTACGTGCGCACCCGCACGTGGTATTTTGTGGAAGAGCCACACTCAAGGGGCCAAAGAGCCGCGGTTTGCCGACCACTGGTCTAGTAGAAAACCCAACAAAATCACGCCGGGTGACAAACGCCATGGTTCCCTGACATTCCGTCCAGCACACGTCACCGATCTCTAACATGTACCGATTCGTCCTATGAGCGAACGAGGAATGCCTGTGGGTGGGACCGGAGGGGACTGCAGGGAAGGACATTCCCAGTGAAAGGAGGACAGGTGTGTCCTTGGGCCGCAGGATCCTGGAACTGATCGAGTTGGGACCTGAATGGCCCAGGTGTGACCGTCTGCGTTGGTTGCTCATCACAGAGACCCCGACCGGAGCTCGGGTCATCGGGGTCGAACTCAGGGTCACAGCAGGCAGAGGCCAAGCCGGTGCCGAGAAGGAAGAGCCCACGTGTGAGCGAGTGTCTGCCACGCGCCGGGCACCGCACAGACAGCCGCATGCGATTCCCGCGGTAAAACCGTAAGCCAGACACCCTTGTCTTCATAGATGAGAACACAGACGTTCAGGAAAGTTCAGAAACTTGCCCACAGGCACTTCTGCTTCAGGCCCAGAGGAAGTGACAGGGACCGGATACATCCTCTCTGAACCAACTAGTGAAACAGCCCAAGTGTCCATCAGCAGGTGGACAGGCAAACGGTGGCCCATCCGCCTAGACCTGTGGTCGGCAAACTGCGGCTCGAGAGCCACATGCGGCTCTTTGGCCCCTTGAGTGTGGCTCTTCCACAAAATACCACAAAAGGCGCGCACGTACAGTGCGATTGAAACTTCGTGGCCCATGCGCAGAAGTCGGTATTTTGTGGAAGAGCCACACTCAAGGGGCCAAAGAGCCGCATGTGGCTCGCGAGCCGCAGTTTGCCGACCACTGGCCTAGACGATGGGCTGTCCCTCAGAGATATACATAAATGAACTATGGACAAGTGCCACAGAATGACCGCATCTCCAAGTAAGTGTGCGAAGTGATGGACACACAGAGGACAGACTTGAAGATTAGATTCCATTCGTGTAAGATCCTGGGAAATGCAAAGGAATGTAGAGGAGCTAAAGCTGGTCAGTGGGTGCCTGCGGGTGGGAAGGGAGAAGGGAGGGGAGCTGGAGGGAGTGATCGCAAAGGCCCCAGGGACTATTGGGTGATGGGTATGTGCACTCCGGGCTGTGTGCTGGTTTGTGGGTGCACACATCTAACAAATCTTACCAGATTATACACCCGCCCTGCCCCCTCTCGCTCCCCCGGCCTCTGCATCCCCACCCGTCCAGGTGCCCAGCTCACACCTCCCACCTGCCCACCCCCGTAGCTTCCTGTTTCCACCGCCTTCCCCTCCTCTGTGTGGAAGGGACATGGTAGAGGTGGCACGGAAGCTTCCTGCGGGCACCAGCTGGTGGGGGCAGGGGGAACCGGGGTTGGTAGAGAAAGCGGATGCAGGGTGGGTGTGGCCGTCTGGGTCCTGGTGGATGGGGGGGGGGTGCAGTGTCTGGGCATCCTCAGATCTGCAGGTGGAGCCACATGACAGAGCTGACTTGGAGAGGGAGGGTTGGGAGGGTTCATGCTGCAGGGCAAGACATCCGGGACCTGGGTCCTATAGCCCTGACCTCGGCTCTCCCCTCACCACCACCCCCAGTTCCCACCTCTCGCGCTGAGAAGGCGAAGGAGGTGAATGCTGGGCGCAGGCATTCCTTTCCGGCCCTCGTTACCCGGCATCTACGGCAGAGAACGCTTCACACTCCGCATGTGATGCTGTTTACCTCCCAGTGTGTCCAGCAACACATCCTTAAAAGGGAAGATGTCCTATGTTCCTTCTCTTTCACCCATTTCCTATCCTGCAAGGTCAGGTCACTGCACCGTGCAAGGAAAATAGTTATTTTTAAAGCAAAATATCATCTGTTTTGCAACGTAATTATATAGACAGGAGAAGCTCGGATAGCCCACGTGCACCGCAGATTAAAGGGCAAAGACGGGCCATCTGAGGTAATGGAACCAAGTGCGTGACGTACAGGCAATAAAACAGAGAACAAAGGCGCAGTGTGGACTGTGCTGGGGAACATTACGAAACGCCGGTAATTACACCTGCATGACTCGGACGGACAGGCCAGGCAGACACGGGAAAGCGGCGCGGCTCCACCCACCGCAGGGTCGTGTCGCAGGATTCTGAACCTCAGCTGGGAGGCACGAGGTGAGCAAGCAAGGCCATCGCTGCGAGCAAGAATCGCATCACTATGGGTGGCCGAGAGGGCAGCTCTGGGAGCCGTGAACGAAATAGGTGACGCCTAACAGCAGGTTCCTCAGAGACTTTTGCGATTTGGGGGTCACAGTGCAGGGTTACAGGAACATAGCTCAGTGGGCCCTGAGGAATCCTTTGTCTATCGTCCAATGTGGGTATTTTGGCCGAACCAAATTCCTCACAGGTGTACTCGCCCCACAGAGCAACATACAACCCTGCCCACCCCCCACCACTGTCCCGGGTGCTCCTGACCACCTGCAGGTGCCAGGAAACGCGAAATTCTCCTGCTGTCACTCAATTCCTACAACGACCGGTCATGCCAGAACCGGCTCCAGCGTACTGATGAGGAAGGCAAGGCGCACAGATGCTACGTAAATGGCCTGAGTCGCACAGAAGATGAATGCTGAGCGTAAGACGAACGCCCAGAGCTGTCTACACAGCATGGGGCCTTTACCTCCCTCCCCCTAACCCAGTGGTTCTCAACCTTTGCCCCCCATTGGCATCACCTTGGAACCTTTAAGAATAACACGTATGGCACGGCTGGCATGGCTCAGTGGTTGGGCTTCGACCTATGAACCAGGAGGTTATGGTTCGATTCCAGTCAGGGCACCATGCCTGGGCTGTGGGCTCCATCCCCAGTGTGGGACATGCAGGAGGCAGCCCATCCATGATTCTCTCATCATTGATGTTTCTATCTCTTTCTGCCTCTCCTTTCCTCTCCCCCTCTCCCTTTCTCTCTGAAATCAATAAAAAAAATATATTTTTAAAAGAAGTGCTGTTATAATTAGACATGGACTCTTAGCCTCTTTATATTTAAAAAAAAAAAACCTGGACGCCTGGCCCCCATCCCACGCCTTCCAATGTGACTGACCGAGTGTGACCCGGGCACTGGGAGTCACTGAACAGCTCTCCACGCGATTCTCATGGCGGCAAAGCGTGGGAACCACCACCTTGTCACCTGGCCAGGTGCACCAGCGCTCTCCACAGCGACCACACTCGCCGAGGCCGGGTCCCCCACTGAGCATGCGCACTTCTTCTCCCCACAAGTGAGCTCTAGGTCAGCGGGGCTTCTCCCTAGGTCTAATCATGCCTCTTTCACTGGCATTAGAGATAGAATATAATCAATCATCCTGTATAACAAAAGGCTAATACGCACATGGAACAAACGGCCGAACGACCGGTAGCTATGACGCGCACTGACCACCGGGGGCAGACACTCAACGCAGGAGCTGCCCCCTGGTGGTCAGTGCGCTCCCTCACGGCTGGTGAGCACAGCGGCGGTGGTGGGAGCCTCTCTTGCCTCTGCGGCAGCGCTAAGGACCCTGGGGGATGTCCGACTTGCCGGACTGCGAGAAGGGGGTGCAGGCTGGGTTGAGGGACCCCCCCACCCCCCAGTGCACAAATGTCATGCACCAGGCCTCCATCTATTATGAAAAGCAGTAACAAGATTATGTGAAGACTAATGTTTCTAAACTAAATCCAGTGCTTTGGAAAGATGTGATAAAAATGAGTTGTTGTTTTTTAAAAAGATGCTAAATAGGTGTGAATGGAAAATTACAGAGTGGAAAACAGGGTAGGAATCTAGAGCAAGTCTCTCCCGTTGGCTGCACAGGGCATTTGAAGTCCCTGAGTCACGTAGAATGAATGTAAAGAACAGGCCAGACGATGACCATAAACGTGGTTTACGAGGGGCAGAACCTCAACCTGAACAAGCACCTCAGAGAGGAGGCCCCGCCCTGGACCTGAGACCGATGACTGAGGCGCGCGTGTCGTAAGTGGAAATCACATGTTGGTGACATGCACGGACCACTTTATATGATTTCCCTTTTTACACTAATTCCCTCAATTACTGCCCGGCTCCTGACTGTGCTGCAGACGGGCGTGTCTCTGAATCACAGGGTGACAGCTTGGCCTTTCTCTCTCGGAAACGCAGCTGAACTAGACGATAGAGAAAGTCACTCATTGTTCACAACACAGCACATGCTCCTGTGATTTACTGTAAGGACCGAGCGCTGACGAGCAGGCACACAGTAGGACCGTGGAGGACGGGCAGGCGGACAAAGGCCCTGTCCTCAGGGGCCGGGGAGTCTCCGGGACTTAGACGCGCCCACAAATGACTGAATTGCAAGGTGGACAAAGGCTCCAGCTCCACCCAGCCTGGCCCGGGGCCAGAGGAGAACCATGGCGCACGGCCCAGGAGTCTGCAGGGCTTCATGGAGCGGCAGCTCAGGGGGGAGTGAGACACAGACAAGGTGCTTGTTTTCATTGTTGATGTCATGTCCCTTCCCTTCTTTCCAAAAGGAGGCAGCCCTGACCTTGCTAGGAGGGGAGATGGAAGATGAAAGCCTGAAAAGACGTTGATGGGGTCCCCATTGGCGGGTCCCAGAGAGGCCAAGGGGCAGGATCGGGGTCCAGGGGACGGGGCAGGCTGGCCCACAGGAAAGGAGCCGGGCCCGGGCACAGGAGGAGGGATTCTGAGTCCGAGAGGAGAGCCGAGGCGACACCAGCTCAGCGCTCGTCCCTTGCGCGGAAGCCGGCTCTGTGCTGGGTGCCGGGTGCGAGGTTCTAGAGGGTTTGCCGCTCTCGTGAGGGTGAAGGGAGACCATGCGGACGAGCATGGGGACACCAGGCTGCAGTGTCTGCAACGCTGTCTCCTGGCCGAGGAATAGGACAATCACACACAGAAACCTAGAAATATAAAACTGACATTTCACCCGGCCGGCGAGGCTCAGTGGTTGAGCGTCGGCCTATGAACCAGGAGGTCACGGTTCGATTCCCTGTCAGGGCACATGCCCGGGTTGTGGGCTCCATCCCCAGTGGGGCCTGCAGGAGGCAGCTAATCGGTAATTCTCTCATCATTGATGTTTCTCTCTCTCTCTCTCTCTCTCCCCCCCCTTCCTCTCTGTGATCAATAAAAAAATATATATATTTTTAAAACTGACATTTCATTCCTGACCAAGGGGCCGTGAGAGCTGGTCGCGAACCTGCGCGTGTGGTGTCGCTCCTGCACGGCTCTGCTGGGCCGACAGCAGGTTCGGCCGTGCCTCCCTTGGAAGCCACATTCTTTCCTAGATCTCGCCCCACATCCACATCCACATCCACCACCCAAGCGACACACAGCCGGACAGGGCACAAGTGACTCAGCCATTCCCGCCACGTGAGGAAGGAGTGGCTGCGTGAAAAGAAAGCTGAGATCTGGGACACCGTGTGATCAGACTTGTCAACAGCTGGGTGCCCACGTGCGCACACCCCCGTCCAAGGCCCAGCCGGCCCAGCCCACACCGCCTGGAGGCTCCCGGGGGCAATGAGGGGAATGAACGGATCGGAGACACGGTGTCACCCTTGGCCCTGGACCACGTCGCTTGCAAGCTGCGGTCGCTCATCCAAGCGAGGCTTTCAAACAGCACCTTTGTCATCTGGACTCTAAGTTTCTGGACCAGGGACATACTCCCAGGAGGCGTGACTAGCACTGTCTTGCTTTAGACTCCGAGGACAGAGCTGGACTTCCCAGGGGGCCCGCAGCCTGGACGGATTAGCAAAGCGGGGGTTGGGGGAGGGTCCGTGTTGGGTGAAGAGTAGGTCCCACTAATGCTCCACAGACTCTAAACCAGGAAACATTCTAAGCGTAACCTAGTGCATCTGCAGAGCAGTGCACGCCCACACGGAACGTTCCTTCCCATCCTGACTGGACACGTCTAACACATGTCGATCTGTGTGGATCTGTGTGTGTATAGTACGCACGCGTGTGTGTAAGATGCAGGCGCGTGCTCATGGGTGCTTAGCCCTTGCCCCGGAGACCTCGTTGAACCCGCCATCTCCGCTTCCCATGGCCAGTGGACAGCGACCCGCTGCTCTCTGCCTCCGGGCAGGTGGCGAATTAATAACTGTCCCCGTCACGGAGTCTGAATGCCAGGCCCACCGGGGTTATTCCCTACATATAAGCAAACGACATTTCCATTTTGAACAACACTCCAAACCTCCTCCTTACATGTTAAACAGATTTAACGCACAGAGGTCACGCGAGCCCTGGGCTGGGGGCGTGCATTCTGGCCTGACCCCTTCCCACAGCCAGGTGCATGGCTGGCAGGGCCACCTCCAGGGCCTCCTGGGCTCACCCCACGGGTGCCTGGCCTCCCCTCTTCCTTGTTCTCATCTGCAGATGGTTAGAAACACCGAAGAAGTGTGGGAAGCCATTAACGGCCCGTGCCTTTCTCTCTACCCTGAATTTATTATTTAAGAGCAATTCGCGCCCACAGCTTATCAATAGGAAGAAGAGGAGGTAGAGGTTAAGTATTTAGCGAGCACCCAGGGTTGGGTAAGTGCTGACAGGGTGGACTGTCGGGTTAGGGAAGGTCCTAGCCGGCACTTCTGTGGAGGCCGAGTTTTAAGTTCTGACAGTTGAAATAATTTCATTAACGGCTTCTTTGCTTTCAAGAGTCCTCCCTACGTTCTGATTCCGAACTGAGAGCAGAACCAGGAAGCACAGGCTGAGAAGCCAGAATCGGAGCTGCCGCAGCGAGGTCTGCAGCCCCCGGGAGGGGACCCGCCCCGAGCGCTCCCCTTGGGCGTGTGGCAGCCATTGGCCCGAGATTCAGGCCTCTGGCGAGTCACCCTTTGCTGAGAGGACCCCGATTCACTGCAGGCTCTGACCATTATTATTATTATTATTCTTACTAACAGCCTAAAAGAATAAATCTGGATCCTCTCACCTCCCTCCTAATCCCTCGTCGGTTCCTTCTTTAAGAAAGTTATTCTAGCCGAGCCGGGTTGGCTCAATGGATAGAGGGTTGGCCTGTGGACTGAAGGGTCCCTGGTTCAATGCCCGGGTTGTGGGCTCGATCCCCAGTGGGGGGCATGCAGGAGGCAGCCAATCAATGATTCTCTCTCCTTATTGATGTTTCTATCCCTCTCTCCCTCTCTCTTCCTCTCTGAAATCAATAAAAATATATATTAAAAAAGAAAGTTGCTGTACATAGGAGTGGGGAACATCCGGCCTGTGGGCCATATAAGGCTGCAAACTCATTGGGTGAGTGAATGCAATGTTTGACCAATACAGCAGGCTAATGTTTCAGCTGATAACTGTGTTTGGCCCGAGAATGACGTTATAAACACCCACATGGCCCTGGGCAGGAAAGGGTCCCCACCCCTGGTGTACGTGGTGCAAGCTCCTTGAGAACGCATTTCCCTGAAAGATTCCTGCTCACACCATCTGACCTTTCTCCCCCATCCCCAACCCCTAACCCCTGCTGGTTGCCAAGAGAGACCCCAGTGGCCCACTCCCCACCCCCCACCGGCGCCCAGGGCATGAATGAAAGGGAGGGCCAGCGCCGGGGGCCGAGGCTGATGGTCGGTGGGACCCACGAAGCCAGCCTCAGGGAACGGGACTCCAGCCCAGGTCAGGCCCACGGCTCGCTGAGACTTCAGTCCCGGGGACAGGGGTACGGGACGCGACCTCAGGCCCAGTCAAAGCTGAGTGAGTGGCAGCAAGAACAAGCGGACGATCTGTACAGGCAACAACATGGATGGATCGCAGAAGCCCCATGAAAGAGCCAGACCCCAGGCCACCCATGGGCCACGCGATCCCACTTGTCTGATATTCTGGATGGAGGCAGAACTATCAGATCCGCGTTGCCCGGGGCCGAGCAGGGGGCGGACGACAGGGACCCCAGGGGACTGGATGTGGGGGGCTTTGCTCTAGATCTCAATAGCGGTGCTGGTCACACCACCGCACAGATTTCCCAAATCACCCACGGACACACAGCAAGGGTGTTACTGAGTGTGAACTGTCCTCATTAAAGCGGAATTAAAACAGCAACTGAGGAGCAGGAACAAAGGAGGAACGACGGGGTCACGGAGGCGCTGAGATGGGGGAAGGGAAGAGCTCCCACGTGGGGGCAACAGGCACCCCTTAGCGCTACCCCCAGGGCAACAAGGAGACTTGGGAGGAGTTGGGGAGCCCATCCCCAGATCCCAGGGGGCTGTCTGAATTCCAGGCTCCACTCCAACCAGGTGAGTTGACTGCCTCCGTGTTAGTCACTGAGTTCACAGTTTCCAGCCCCAGGGTGTCTCCTCAGGCAGGGCCACTGGCATTAAGCACCCTGAGTCAATCCTTCCGGGAGCACTGGGCCCAGCTGCCGTGGGGTGAAAGCCCTACAGAGGTGGACGCTGAGAGACAGGGAAAGCCGCCGCCCGGCCCGCCCCGCCCTGGCCCACAGCT